CGCTTAAGCCCGAAAGGGCGCACATGCATGGGTCTCAGCAGGTCGAAGAAAAGTGCGAAGATTTTTTTTTAGGGTTTAGGGTCCCATTTTGGTACCCCTTAATATTAGGTGCCGTAGTATAACCTAGAACCCAAAGGGGCCCATAGCTTTGAACAGAGCCCATTTGATTTAGGGTTGAAGGTTTAGGGTTAGTACCTAAATAATGGAAAATGACATGGAAGCTGGGTGTGCATGTACGTGTATATATATATATGTAGAACTTATATAAAGGCATGTGGGGACTAAATGACGACCAATATCATTTTGAGTTTATTTGAGGTACCCCCTACATCCCTATACTGAAAGTACACGAGGAATCTGGGATCATCATGTTGGTAATTTTGTAGTCCCCTGCATCACTTACTCAAAAAGGAGGCTTTAGGGAAAGTGGTAGGTTCAAAGCACTAGGACTCTCCCTGAGAATGGCCGCCGTGTAGTAGAAGACCTATGTTCATTCTAGCTACCCCAAAATGAAGCCCGAGCTTTGGGAACTGCAGTGCTAGAGATGGGGGATACCCTAAACCGTAAATTCCGGAGCCACGTCGAGGGGTTAAGGAAGGGATCGCCTTGAGTCCCTCAAGCCCTGTTCTTTAGGTTTAGGATTGATGGTTTAGCGTTTAAGGCTTAGGGTTTAGGGTTTGGGGTGTAGGATGTAGGGTTGAGGTTTGGGTTTTAGGGTTGTTACTCTTATCCCTTCTCTGGGTCCTACGCAGTGAAGATAGGGTCCAAAAATTCTTGCTAGCAAGGGCTAAGGGTTTTGGCGAAGGTTTTGGAGTTCTTGGCTCAGCTCCACCCTAAACACTAAATCCTACACTTCCTGGATCCTAGACCCTAAAGACAAGGAACCTGTTATACATAAAGCCGGTGGGGCTGCTGTTTCAATCCACCCCTGTAACAATCAGATGGCAGAAGGTGTGATATATAAGACTACAAAATTGTGGGATTGTTATAAGTTGCAGCAGTGTTCAAGCAACAGTCTCGACTCCAAACCTAAAGCCTTAAACCCTTCAATCCTTCAATGCCGAAACCTTATAACCTCTAAACTATACAGGAGCTTAAGCGCTTGGGATGCAGTCTGTTTTTTACCAGCCTTCTGCAAGGGTGACGGCCAGGCATACACTAATTCCTAGCAGGCCGGAAGCTCAGGGAGCTCATAAGAAGGCAGCAGCTGTGACTTGAAATAGCTTCCCTATCATTTTGCCGTACTTCCACATCCAGGGTCTCCTTTGAAAAGGCAAATATAAGGCTAAGGGAAACCTCGGGATGGGGGGAGTACATTGGTTTTGCTCCGTTCTAGAATCCAACAGCCCTCACTGCGAACCTCAAACCCCCATACCCCATGATCCCTAATTCACGCGCACTCAACTCTTCACCCTTGACCGTCAAAACGCAAGCTCTACAGCCTCCACCCGCAAACCTATGAACCGTAAACACGCGGCTGCTGCTTCTTAGGAAACGAGCTTTTCCGGCAGGGTACTTGGGAGTTTCTGAAAATCGAAGGAATTTGTAGGGCTTCTACCCAGGGCACTGGCTTTGTGATGGACTCCCCGAGTATGAGAAACTCCCACTTCAAGCATTTGCAACATCTCACCGTGATGTCGGCTACAGGTCTTTAGTAATTGTTATTGCAATCAATCCTGCATGTGCTGCACTTCTTGCTGTAACTCTTAGCAGTAATAAGCCTTTGATATACTTCCCCTCTATGTTGTTGATAGCATAATAATATCTCATTGGGGAATTCATGCCTGCTTTGCAGGCGCTTTAGGTGGATACTTCGCGTGCAAGTAGATGCTCGTGGCGACCACCGGAACCGCAACGATAGTTGACCAATGCAAGGACTCACCTGAAGCTGCTGCAAGGGGGGGGTTGGGGTTAGGGTTTTTTTTTCCAGACTTCCTTCCTAGCCAGAACTTCCACAACCGCTCAGCTAAGGAAGGGTTCAGAAGATTGTATGGGATATCTTCTTTTATGAAAAGGTTTCGGAAGCTTTGCATAAGGGCGCCATCCAATAACACGACCCAATCCTAAATTCAGGGCAATTATGACTCACATCAATAACTGCACTGGTAGCCCAATTACAAGCCGCTCAAATCCCCTAGTAGGAGTACAACTGGGAGATATATGTATATAAGTACAGACATATATTGGGCTATACTTACCCCTTAATGAGGTCAGAGAAGTGCTCTTGACAGTCATTCAAGCTTGAGCATGAACTTCGTTCAGCTTGGAAACCTATGGGAGAGTTGCACACCAATGGAGGACTCTATGCAAAATGTATATATAGATTCCCTACAAAACAGCATGCTGGCTGGCATAGACTGAGGGATTCCATCCCCACCCCAGAGGTACCCCCAGGGTTTACGGAGCTAATGAGGACTATATCTGGCTATGCAGGACTTAGAAAGGCCTACTAGCATTTCAAGTGGGGTTAGCAGCATTGGGGGATAGCGTTGAACCCCTAAACTCATGGACGTAGATCTCGTCCCGAGGACAGCTGTGCGAACGGCTGGGTAGGTGTCGAAAGAGTTGACTAGAAGTCGCTGTACGGATTTAGAATCTTGATGGAGTGCGGAAAAGACCCTGGGCTCACCAATCACTAAGAGAGTTTTCGAACAAACAAGCAGATATTTCTACAAGCTTCTGGAGTACTCACACTCTCGAAAGACGAAAATCGAATGCCAAGCGGCCGTCCACCAGCCACTTCAGCACACATGACCTCATTTCCATCACAGGGCATGGGTGTAGGGTTCATCTGGTTAAATATGAGTGCCCCTAAACACTGTATAGCAGAAATCCTTATATGCCCTGAGTGAAAACCAAAGACTCCCTTCAAAAGAACGAAGCCCAGGGTCTCCTTACCATCCCCACTTATGATATGCGCAATAATTGTGTATACATATGTGTATATATATATATCAAAATAGACATGTACACACACACACATATATATATATGTACACACCCAGAATTTTCAGGCTACGCCTACTTCGATTTTTTTCCGGAATACAAGATTATCACACTCCAACAAACTAGCACGGAGTCCCAAAAGGTTGTACAAAACTTACTCCCCTTCTTAGCCCCTATTAATAACTCCCGTTTCTTCAGACACCCCTGAAGCGCCCAAACAATCTTCTATTATGATATAGTAGTTTCCAATTGTTTCTTCCACTATACCGATATAGACTCCTATTAATAACTCCCTATGTTCAGACACCCCTGAAATGCTCAAACAATACCCTGTCCATGTTCTATTCCATTATCCCTATATAGATCCGTATTAATAACTCCCGGAACTGCTCAAACAATACCCTATTCCTTCCCATCCTAGTTTCCATGTTCTGTTCCCGCATCCCTACATAGACCCTTATCAACAACTCCCCTGTATTCAGTCACCCCTGATACGCTCAAACCATGATTTTTCTGTACACCTCCCACACTGCATCGAACACCCTACACCCAGAAAAAGAAAATCGCCTTAAGTATGCACAGCTGCGCATTCCAAGCCCTAAATCCTAAAGCGTCATACCCTTAGCTCCTGAACCTGGGAATTTAAGTTTCCAAAACCTACTCTATGCCTGGGACCTTGAATTTCCAAAGCTGAGGTGGGATCCTTTGGGCGCCCCGCAAACGGACAGAACTTAGAAGGACATTTGGAATTGAGTCATCGGGGAAGCCTGCTTTTTTGGTCCGAGGCTCTGTCCTACCTAGGGGCCTGTGGGGAATTATCCACAAATCTTTCAGCTGAAAGGCAGGATCAGCCCAACCATCACCGCAAAGCCCTTCTTAACACTTCCAGACGTCTTCGCCTCAGCTTTGGATGGTAGAGTTGGGATACTCGGACGGTCAATAGGTCAATATTGGAGGCACGGAAAGAAGGTGGAATTTACCGTGCCATCTATTTTTTGAGTTTGGGGTAATAGGGACTTAGGAAACACGGAGGATGAATACGGTTATCATACAGCTGATAAGGTTTATGGGTATACTTACTCAATCTCACTGACCCTTCAAGTACTGTAGAGTTTGAGTGAGGGAGTCCTTGTACCCACCTGCAGCACTATAAAAGGAGCCAAGCCTTAGACCTATATATATATATATATTCATGTCATTTTTCTTCTGCTGATTATCAGTCGGCCCAAGGCAAGGCTTCTGGCGTGGAGTCTGGGTCCTAGCCAGGCCCCACGTGATTTTGATAGCTTATTGGGGGCGCGTACGATTTTCGAAGACTAGCCTGATTTGATTAAGCGCTCTAGTATGCCGTAAACAAGGTACAGAGACGTTCCGGCTACTTGGGGAACGCAAAGCTGCACTTGAGCTGAGTACTGACACCGGAGCTTTTGAAAACCCAAAGCCCCAGTGCCGAAAACCCCAACCGTACTCCCTGAACTCTACCTACCCTCCAACCGCCTAGAAGAGACCTCTCAAATTCCTCCCAGCGGACCTCTGGTTAGCAAGGAATGAAGGAATGGACACTCATAGTAGTTCCTAGATAATCGAAGAAAATAGTAGTTTCCATTCTCCTTCCATGCCCCTGTGTATCCCTAAAACTAATTTTCATGTCATGTTACATTTTCTTTTCATTTCTCTTCTCCACTACAGTCATTTCAAGATCCTTTTTTCATTCCTTAAACCCTAGGCCAAAAATAGCAGTCTGAATCCTAAACCCTAGCCAGCAGTCATCATTCTTTTCCATTCCTTAATTTCCTGCCAGTCAGAGACGCTAAACCCTAAACCGCAGGCTAGGCAATGTGAAGCTCTGAGAGGGGCCACAGACGAGTCGCGATGAGCCCCACTACGATGCCACCCCATCCCTGTGAGATCCTTGCAGTGCTTCCGGTTGGGATTTGGGACTTTGAGGTCTAGGGCTTTGGGGTGTAGGCTTCAGGGTTCCTTCCGTGCTGTTCAAGTTACGTTACTAGTGTTAGGTGGGAAGGAAGGAATAGCATATGTATATATGTATATATATCTATATATTTATGTAGAAAACATATACATACACACACACATATATATATACATATATATATATTTGGGGGGATTACAAAGGCGGGCTACGGCAGGGAATTCTTCCTCCGCTCAATATGAACCAACTTTCAGTTTTGGGATCAGGGCGTAGGGCTGTAGATGTTTTGGAGGATTTGGAGTTTAGTTGTTCATCTAGCGGCTGTAGGATTTAGAGTCTACAGTTGGAAGCGGCCGTGGAGTCAGGGTTTAGGATTTTGGGCAGCTTCCAGTCTGTAGGGATCCGGGCTTGGCGACTGGGGTCTGGACTTGAGTTCGTATAGGTTTTAGGGTTTAGGGTTGAGGCTTTAGGGGTTTAGGATTTAGGGCTTGTCTAGAGGCTCAGGCTCAGGGTTAGTGTGCCCATGCTGCCCGCAGAACTCTAGAAACGAGAGTCTCTTAGGTACCCTAAATCCTCTACCCTAAAGCTGAAAGAGTCTCTTAAGTAGCTCGCAAGAAAACACACCATGGAGTCGCCATGAAAAGCTGATTCATCATTGTCCTCTACATCTTTCATGCTGCCCGCATTCAGGCCTGAAATCTACACATCGTACCGATTTTGAGCTCTATTTTGAGGTGCCCTGCGCTCTGAACCATATTCATACAAGAAATCTAGAACCATGACGATGGTAGCTATCAAACCCCTGACAGCACCTACTTACGCGGTTGGCAGTGCTAGACAAAGCAAGCTTTCAATCACAGCCTTCTTTTACACTCATCGCTTTCTTAAGGCCCTGAAACCCACATTCGGCGGCAAGCTAACAAAAAGCCATCGCAATCAAACAACACAAGGATTCTGCGTGGAACGTCAGTCGCTCCTGCAAAGCCCAAGACACGAGACCATACCTCTCACATTGCCTTGCAAGCTTTCTCAACAGTTTTCGGGCTTGGGGTTTATACTATACTAGTGCACTTTGCTGTGCTATACTGCACCATACTAGACTATAGAATAATGATGAATAATGTGCTGTTACTATATCTAACTATACGACGCTAATACTATCTACTGTTACTTTACTATACCTGCACCACACAAGCCCCGAAACACTCACGGCTGCCCAGCTTCACTGGGATGAAGGTGTGGGGAGTCCACCTCTGGAAGAGTCCTGCTCGCTTTTACTACGTTTTCAGGCTGGACGAAGGGTTTTGCATGATGGGGTTTAGGGATGTTACCCCAGCAATGTAGAATCGAATGAAGAGATAGAGAAATAGCAACTGGAACCATGAGGGGATTTACGCGCCTTTGCTATGGTGCATGGCAAGTACCAACGACGATCATGAGTTCCCCAGCCACCGGCCCAAAGGGAACTCCCCACCCCAACTAATAAGGGATTATCAAAGATTGTGGCCCAACCTTTTACTTGAGGCTGATGCTGTAAACGCGGTTAGTTGGGGAACCCTTGATGATGGCCATCTTTGCTTGCCTTCATCTCCAGGCGAGGCGTTCATCAAGTGGGTGATGACGATAATCACCTCGGGACTTCCGCGGCATGCTCTAAAAATGAAGAAAGGCTAAATGGCGAACTTTGTCAGACATCCTTTGCCCCTCAAGCGCTGACAAAAATCTTACTCCCAAGCTGTATCAAGCTCCAAACCTTCAACACTGCAGTAGATCCTCAAAAGCCTAACCTGTCAAACCTTTGCAGAGGGAATTCGCGAGTGGAACTGGACAGTCTCATGCAGCATCGGAAGAACCTGTCAAACCTACATGGATGACTTTGTGTGGGCCTTCAAACGCCAGCCTCAGCTCCTTCCTGAGACCAGGCTTCCTGGACACAGCAACTGGATTGCTGATAAGGAGCTTAGTTTAAGGAGCCATAAGACGGGTATATTAAGAATATAGGGTTCCCGTATTAGAGTAACTTAATAGGGTATATAAAAATACAGGGTTTCCATATTAGAGTAACTTATATTAAGTTCCTTGACAGCAACCCAGACCATCTCTCAAGCCGTGGTGCGCAGCCCAACACGCCCATCTCTGAGCTGAACAGGTAGCCTCGCTTTGCGTGTCTGGTTTGGTAGCTTCCATGAAAAGGGAAGACCCAATATCGAACCCAAACACACTAATCCTTATTCTGGGGACCCACCCAAAGAGGTACCCTAATTTTGGGGAACCCCCATTTGTGTGTGGAGGTGGAGGCGGAATAGCCTACTGGTGGTTAGCACAGAACGAGGGAGTTTACTCCCTATTTAATCTCTATATACCATATGCCCTTATTCCTTACTAAGCCCACTTACTTCTCCATCCGCAAAAAACAGGCAAAGGTTGAGGTCGGGGAATGTGGTTTTGATGAAACGGTAGGCGCACCAATGCACACCTTTTCTCTTTTCATGGTCACAGCTTGGGTCCTGCCCCCACCCATTAACAGTCCATTAGCCACAGCACCCATCACAAAGGCAGAGGTGACTGACTTTAAAGCCAGCGAGTCACATCATGAGCGCTGCTGCATGTGGAAACTGGCCTCTTCTCCTGATAGACCGTGTGATATGGTAGTTTCCCAAAATAGGGGGACCCCAATATAGACCCCAAAATACTATAGTCCTTATTATGGGGACCCCCAAAAAGGTGTCCCCAATTTTGGGAAACCCCCATATCGCTTAGCCATACCAATCCTTTGAAAGGGAGCCTGCTACCTCAGATCAAGCCCTCTGCTGAGGAACTGGCAATCCAGAATCCGACCTCAAACCCTAACGCCTCCTGTACATAGTTCAACCCCAAACCTTAACCTATCCTATACATTGTCCAACCCTCGAATCCAAAACGCTTCTCTACATTGCTGCAACCTCCAAACCCTAGATAAATACGCTTCTACAGGTCCCTGCTCCACATCCTAACTCTAACTTTCGTGTGATCACTAGCGGGTGAGGGACTACACCAAAAGAAATCCAAATGGCCTAGAATTGGCTTTCCTTGTCTTGTCTATTCCCGTTCCCTACACCACCAGTAAGCCTAAATCCTGAACCCTATGAACTCCTATATCCCCTATATGCAGCATGTTCTTGGTTTCTCTCTTTCTCTCTCCTCCCTCTTCTCACCGGTAAAACCGTCTACCCCGCTTCCGAGGAGCTATCCCTCCGCTTCCGCTGCAGAGTCCACTCGACAATGGCACCCCCCAAGCCGCTTAAAGCCGAACCGAGAAGTATACCTTGAGAACGATTCTGTTGGGGTTCTATTGGGGTTATATTAGGGTTATATTAGGGTTATTAGGGTTATATTGTGGTTATATTAAGGTTATATTGGGGTTATATTAGGGTTATGTTAGGGTTGCGGGTTTTAGGTTTCAGGTAGGATCCAGGATCTATAGGATCTGTTCTTGGGCTGGGTTTTACATCAAGGGTTTGGGGTTACGCAAGGATGCAGAGCGTGAGGGTAAGGCCTTCGGGTTTAGGATGCAAGGTCTAGGGATCAGTCTTTAGATCCATTTTTCAACTACCCTGAAGCACCAGTAAGAAGATGTTCGGCAATCGTTTGCGGAGTTGTAGCCGCATGTATGCAGAAAACGTGTGGACTTTCATGCATGGCATGAGGCCAGCCTAAATACTTGACGGTTTTGGCGGTCTCATGTCTCGGCGACATTATAGGTAATGCAATTGTCCAGGTTGCTGTTATGGCATACCCTGATAGGTTTAGTGCGGAAGACAGAAGGTTCCCTGCCAATACGAATTACTCCCGGGTTAGGAGCCAAGGCGTTGCAAAGTCTACAGTCAGCCTTGTGCATTCTGAAGAGGAAGGCGCTGGCCTTTGAAATCGTTGCTCCGTTGTCCATGGATTTGAAAGATGAAAGAAGTTCTAGATATAAATATCTAAAGAGATACATACGCACATTAGGCAGTTTTCATGACCATTCCGTGGCAGGAGGAGGGAAAGGTTGCGGTGAGGATTGAGGCACTAGGGGCTTAGATTTAAGGTTGGATGCGAGCGGATTCTTTCAAAAATCAACGCGCGCGCTTCTCTTGTAGCTGACTCTGCCGTACTCACTCTGCCAGTCACAGTAGAATGGATTCTGGGAGATCTTTGAACATAGTATAGTGCGCTTGTATATCTGGTTCCTGATGAAGATATGTGTACAACACTGTATACATATATGCATATTGGGCTTTTGCATAGACACAGTCAGACAAACATATCCAACAATGACCCAGGCACGGGGGTCCTCACATTCATGAAGACGTGTGAAGACAGTCTCTGATCCGTCGGGGAAGAAGGGGAACATGGCCAAAACCAAATTTCCCAGACACATGATAACAATAGAAGTTTGGGACTGTTCTTTAGGAACACGCCAGAAAACGAGCTAGACACATCTAAGTAGACTCCAGCAAAGGATAACCCCCTACACCCTCAACTGTGACGGCCCCAAACAAAAAGAGCAATCGCTTCGTAACAAGGACCGCAACAAAGTACAGGGCCTTTTTTGAGCCTCCGTTGAGATTCTCTCTCAAGTTGAGAGGTAGCTTGGGGAATCTGCCCCAGTGCAAGTAGACTTAAGCCGCCAAGCGATGCAAGGCGAGGAAAGCCTCTTGAAGCTAATCCTCACTCAGGATTCGGTGCATGCTTACATGGCTCAACACATCGGCATCCAAGTGCTAAACTGCTAAACCCTGCAACCACCGACCCGCTGAGCATAAAACAACCTTAATCCAGAAGGCAACGGCCCCCCCCAAACCCTAGACCCTCAGCCCAAACTCATCCTCAGTCCAGGCCGGGCTGCAAAACGTGCCAATGGCGAGGCTCTCAGCGGTACTGGGAGTCTTCGACACCTGGCAGGGTCAAGGCTCTTTTGAACTTTGCAGGATCCAGGAGTCTTAGCAGCTCAGCCAATTTTGCTGGGTATGCGTTTGGGCGTCCGAAGGTTCTACAAACCTGCTATAGGGCTTCCATGAGGCTTGGTAGAATCTCAGGTTAAGAGTCTTTCACCATTCAGGAAGCAGCTTTACTATAATCCCCGGACTTTAAGCCATGATCTGTTGCGGACTTTCTCTGGCATCTTCTACGCGTGGGCAAGGTATCTATACTTCTTGGTTCAGGGTTAAGGCTTGTCGTAAGATCTTAATATGGGGCTCTCCGATTTGTAGGCTTTCGAAATGGAGGCTACCCCTAGTAAATGGTGTACTGTTCGGGGTTCCTGGGGTTCTGTTGTGTTTGATTATGTCCCGTGCACGCGTCATGAAGGTGATTTCAGGGTATGAGACAGGAACGAACATGACGCTGGCTTCCATTGTTGAAGCGCCTCAGGAGTATCCCAACACATCAGAATTTTGCTCCCTGCCCTTAAACAAGAAAAGTGAACTGAACCCAAGCTCTAACCCCAAGCTCCAAATGCTGAGCCCTCAACCCTAAGGAGGGTCACGGGAACCCAGAAGATATGCTTATGACAGCCCCAGTTTAGTCAACCTCCTGACTACGTCCCCCTCCAAGTAGACCCACACAACCCTGACCCTAAACCCTCAATCCTAACCTAGACCCGTGGCCTGAGAGGCTTCAGACAAGCTAACCAGCATGCCAGCAGCCGCCAGCATAACCAATGCCACGCATTGCCTTTTTCGAGGGAGAGGTTCCATTCTTTGCGGGAGGAGATTTCCTAAAGACACTGAAGCCCTTAACCCATCATAAGCCCATAAACCCTGGGCCTCACTTCATACGTGAAACCTGCTACATCCATTGCTAGATGCTATTTCCACGAAACTGACAAGTTTTCAGCAGAAATATTGGTGGTTTTCGAAGCTAGGGGTCCCCATTTAGATGTCTTGGGCCAATACTTCCTCTGTGTCATACTATTTTCATGTTGAAAACTACTTCTGAAAGGGCAGCCATACCCCGAAATTGTTTAAGGATCCCATTAGACTCTCCTAAGCTTTTAGCCCGAACCCTCAGCCAAACCTCTAAATCCCAAACCCTGGAACCCTTTGCCCATATCGTAAAAACCAAACCCCAAATCTTACTCCTTAAAACTCTAGACTCTACACTCTAAACCCCGAGTCCTTATCCCTGTGGACCCAGTTGCACTGCGGACTGCCGCCGGCCCACGATAAGATACCTAAGCGCATGTTCTTCTTGAAGGGCAGGGAGGGAGATAAGGATTTAGGAGTTAAGGGTTTACGGGAGCTTGATGAGTGGGTTAGCAACAGTGGTGACTGGACTTATGAATGTCATGGCTGAAAGGGGCTAAGCGCATACCAACCAAAGCCCCATGACCCTCCAAGTAGGTCCCCTGACACAACTTATAGTCCCCTTCAAGTAGATAGAATATGGGGTATATGGGGATCTTGTTATGCCGTACCCAAAGCCATATTCCATCTACGTACTTCAGGGGGACTATAAGGCTTAAGGATTCCCGAGGACATGTCTTTGCCCACCGTGAGATTTCGGATTGTCGGGATCGGGGTTTAGGGCCTGCTTTTGTTGGTTTCGGTTTAAGGCTTACTTGCGGGCATGTCATGTTGGGCGTGTTTTTCAGGCTTGCCTACAACCAGAATAAATTTAGGATCCATGGCCTGCAAAGTATGCAAAGTGGCCTAGCGATGGCTCTGCAGGTTTCAGCTTGCAAAACGGCAAGCCCTGATTGACCTGACATTGGGTACTTGCCCTGCGCACTGATGGGGGCAATAATGGGCTTGTAGCCCCCCAGAAAAACCATGTACTAGGCCCCTCCGTGAGAACACTGTCCTGTTGGCTCGAAAAAAGATCGTGCTTCCAGCGTTATTCAACCCAGATCAAAATGAGGCCTCTGCAACCTCCGCGTCAAACAAATCATTCAGTGGCTCCTGCCACTTTGTGATCAGAGGTGCACGAAGAGGGCGGTGAAAAGCATCTTTGTCTGGTTCAGGATATTGAATGTGATCCCATCCAGCTTTTGATAGGCCACCTGCTCACAGGAGCTGAACTAAGCAAGAAACGCCAAGACTGCTTCGTACACCTAGAATACATGCCCAGTTATTCAAATCATCTCAAGCCCTCATAGGCCACCCAAATCTAAAGCCGGGGTTTTAAGGTGCCAA